GTCTCTCTCTGTCAAATAAATAAATAAAATCTTTAAAAAAAATTTTATAAAGAGATAACTATCAAAATAGTTTGGAATTAGCCTAGGAAATGATCAATACTCAATTTCAGAATAGAGAGTCCAGAAACAATACTGCATACATGGGAATCCAGGGATTGACAGAGGAAGCACTGCAAATCACTGGAGAAAGGGTGGTATTCAATAAAAAGCACTGGTGAAATGGGCTATTCATTTGAAAAAATAATTTAGATCCATACCTCATACCATTCATGAAAATAAATTACAGGTGAAATAAAGGAGTATTAGAAAAAAAAAAGTATGTGAGACTTTGGAAGACCTTTTAAAATCAGATATACAGGACAAAAGTTCTAAATAAAATATCAATACATTCCGATCATAACATAAATTCTGCATTTTAAAAGGCATATTATAAAAGTTAAGACACAAGACAAAAATATTTGTCGTATATTAGGCTGGACCATATAAAACTCTGATTTCATGTGATTCAGCCTAATAATAAAGCCAGCTCTAGATTTTACCCTTGCACACCTCTGTGCTCTTTCCCCCTCCCAGCTGACTGTGGCGAGCTCAAGCAAGGCAACGTCACAAGCCAGGTGCTAAAGACAGCAGAATCTCTGCCTCCTGCATCTCTGAATAACTGCATGGAACAGAGCAGCTAATGACCTGAAATAAACTCCCAATCCCTATGCTACTATATTTTTGGAGTTTGGTTATTATCACAGCTTAGCTAGCCCTAATTATCACAAATATAAATTAAAAATAAAAACAAAGAACTCTACAATCAAAAGGAAAAAGACCAACAACCTGATAGAAAAATAGGCAAAGGATATGAACAATGAATTCACAGAAGAGGAAGGTCTTTTAGAGTTATGAAAAGATATTCAACCTAATTAGCAATAAGGAAAGTCAAACAAAGGGGAGGAAATTCCCAAAGAAAAATGTGAGGACATTTCCCAGAACTGAAAGACAAAGGTTTTTTATTGAAAGTGCACACCAATGTCTAGCACATGAGAAAGACAAAAACTAGCAAACGAACGAGGGTCCTGGTACAAAATAGATGACACACTCAAATGGGATAACTGGGGAGAGGGACTTTTACAAAAGGATTGTCAGGGTAAAGCAAACCAGCAAGGTATGATAAAGCATCTCGGAGTAGCAACCACAGAAAGCTCTCACCACTCCTACGTGTGAAGGGCAAGCGTGGGGATTGGTTACTGGAACCTGGAGAGATCAGTAGCTGTAGGAAAGGGCTGGCTGTGACTGTCAAATCATAATACCACAAAGAGGCCACTGGAGGAGTAAAGACACTTCCCATCTCCTGCTGACGCCACTCATTGACTATGCCCAACCAGAAGCCAGTGGCAAGATAGCACATTGATAATATCCACAAAGGCCCGCCTCTTGGGGCTGAGAACAGAAAGGAGAAGGGTGGGGAATATATCCGCACCAGCAAACCAAGAATATCCATCAAATCTATCAAGGTGCATAACTGTGAAATTTCCTAACAGCTGGGATAAATGATCCTATAAGTTCTCAGAGACAAAATCTGGTTACCTAGAAAGAATTGGGAATCAGAAAGGAATTGGATTCTCTAAAGCAAACACTGAGAGCTAGAAGATGATGGAGCAAGCCTTCAAAATTCTGAGGGGAAATCAAGGAACACCGAGGCAAGCTATCAAATGAGTGTAACGGTAGGATAAAGACATTTTAAGAAAAACCAAGTTTCAAAAATATCCCTCCCACATGCCCTTTCCCAAGAACAGAGCCAGAGCATTGTACAACTCTAAGAGGGCAGGCACCATCCACACTGCATTACATTTAAATGGCATGCCAGAAGCACGTCTGTCTGATAAATGATGTCCTCAAGCATGCAACACCACAGCAGTCCTGCTTAGGAAGCTACTGGAAGATGTACATCAAGAATACAAAGAAAAATGAATGGGGCCCTGGAAAGAGGGACTCCAACTCAGATGGCAGGTGATGACAGACCATGTACCTGGTCTAGGAAGCAGGGTGCTTAGACTAGAGCTGGAAGATGAAAAAGGAGGTCATGAAAACAAACAAACCAACAAACCACTGACAGCTTGACTACCTCAGGTATTTGACTGTACTGAGAAGAGTTTTTAGCATTTTGAGAGAGTCTGAGTCGGTAACAGGTATATAGAAAGGCTTAATCTAAAACATAGGCAATTATTAACTCCAGGAAAAATATGATTATAAAAATGGAAATTAATCATAATATACCATGTGACCTGGCTTTGAAGAATATTTACGTAACTATAACAGTGTGCACACTGAGTAGGGATTTATGTGTATGTTATAGTGATGGGCTGTAAAAGAGCCTAAATACTCATCTTCCAAACCAGGAAGCCCACAGTTGGTGTCAAAATAGAAATGTCAAGAAAAAACAGTATTAAAAAGACCATTTGGAGGGGCGCCTGGGTGGCTCAGTCAGTTAAGCATCCAAC